GTTACTGCACTTTGGATTGACCAGAACAAATTGTGAAAGGACTGTAAGCATTAAATCAACACCCAGCAGACTTTCCATGACTTGGATTCGTTGCCAAAGTTCTAACTGTCAGTATTTTCAGAATAGGTGTGCTTAAATGTGCCTTCTGAGATAAAGTATGGATTTTACCACAGTGAAAATTTTTAAGTAAGAAGCAGTATAGAATGCTGGAGAATTTTACCTGTGGCATAAAAGTAATGTTTTAATCCCAAAGGCTGTTTCAGAAGTACTTACTGATACTCCGAACTGGAAGGATTGTAGAAAGTTTTAGGAAACTGAACTGATACTGTCTGTGGGTTTTTTCCATAGGAAAAATGTTCTTTGTTCTGAAACTGCTACAACTGACCTGGGAGTTGTCCTCCTCTGGAAGCTTGTCTCTTATCAAAGCTTTCGTGTGCTCCTTAAAGGAGATCTTTATGAAATGCAAACTAGTAAACTAAAGTCTGTTTTCTTGTAGTACCATTATTTTGATTTTTTTTCTAGTGTGAAACCATAAGGAATCATACAGTCAGACCAGATATCCATCTAGCTCAGTGTTGTATCTCCAGCAATGGTCAATAGCAGTGATTTTTAGGAAGTAAAAGGAATACAGGAACTAGAAGTATATAAAGATACTTCCCCAGCCTTCAGTTTGACTTAAGAGCTTTCCAAATTGAAGATGGTGTGTTATTTCAAAGTCAACTGTGAAGTCTTGAGAATATACTAAGATATACTATTGTTATTGGGGCATGCTTTAGCAGTTGTATAACAAACTTGTTTGGTTGTCTTGGTCTAAATTTTGATGTTTCTTTCTCTTAGCTACAAGCTAATAAAATTGGAATTGTCCAAATAAAGCAAAATACATTGCTCCTGTTGTATAGTGCTAGTAATTTCCAAAACCACTTTAGTGTATTTGTCAGGTGTTATTTAAGAGCATTTATAAAGGATAATGTTGTTCTTACAATACTTTCATTTCCAAAATTACTGTGGAAACTATTTCTAGGGAAATTGCAGTGCAATTCTGTTAACCCTGTTTTATGAAGGTGCAATCGTTTGGGTGTTCTAGAATTTCAGCCTTGGATTATTCACTTGTTCTTCCATCTGAAGTAGAAAAAAATTAGTGTGAAAGGATTTGGATTTAGTAGGGTGTCTCATAAGACTTCTGGATCGAAGGAAAAATAGAATGTTTCTTAAGGATTTGTAGACAGATTTACCTGGTTCCTGTTTCTCCTGATCTTTTTGTATTGAGGACAAATGCAATAGACATTTCTGTTTACTTTGAGTTTGGTGTTTGATCTTACAGTGTTTGTATTGATTTACTACAGACAAATACAAAGTATTGCTTTGTTGTACATTAAATGCAAGTATTTATATTGGCTTAGAGGGAGCTGGAATCCTGGCTTGTAGTTCTGTCACAGGAAGATTAATTCTACCTAAAGATTAACGTGAAACAATTCTACTTTGTCATTATCTGATGTATCTAGCAACATTATTTGGTGAATTAACTGAGGAGTAATCATTGCTTAGATCTCCCTGCTATGATTAAATGTAAAGAAAAAAATCCATGCAGTTATTACTTCATCCAGTATAAATTCCTGGACTGTTGCATTAGCTTCATCCTTGGCCTGAGAACATGGGATTTTAATCTCTGGCATTATGGGACGCTTTAATCACATGTTTATTTACTATTTGTGATCTAGGAAATGTCATTGCTTCATATAGCTAAGCAGTACAGAATGTAATCTGAGGATTAGGAAAAGGCAAATCTTCCTATCCATTTGGCCTTGAAAATCTGATTGGATTTCCTGTGTGATCTGGCATGATTTTCCCTAATTATCTAAAGCTTGATGTATGTGATAGATACTGAATGAGCTGTGCAGATATGGATAAAATTCTAATGCCGAACTTTATTTATATTCATCATAGATTTGAGTGCAAAGAGATGACAAGGATAAAAACCAGAAATATCTGAGAAAACGTGATCTCAATAAGACACACTTTCAGTAATTCAGTGGCTTTGACTTTGTTCATTCAAAATGAAAGTCTTACAGCAGTGAATATGTATAAAGTCTTAAGTCAGTTTGATTAACTTTGGAGCATAATAAGAAATAAATCTTTTATTTTGTAGTGCTATGGCTCTTTATTAGAAGAAAAACAAGTCATTTGACTTTAAAACAAATGGGGAAAGTTGTGGTCCATTTTGCTGAGAGTTGATTGGTGGCCTCTATGGGGTTCCAGTGGCTTCAAGCAAGTGGAAAGTTGATTAAACAGTAAAAGTTTAAGAACAACCATTTCTTTATTCTTTAAATGGTTAATAGAAAGTATGTAGCTGTTTGGGGTAGGAAAACTGATCTTCAGAGTAATGAATGGATTTTTTTAAGTTGAGTGATTACTAGAGCAGGAAGGGGATATTTTTTCTACGACCTTTTTAATTTTTTTGTATTAACTAAATCAAAATACTGTAGAATTATGTATATCTAGCATGAATCAAGTTGTTGCAGTCAAATCCTTCAAATACTGAATTCAAGTAACTTACGTAAGCTAAAATAATTAGGAAATACAAGTAAGTGCAGTGATCTCAAGTAATTTATGCAGCTGGCTCATCTGAGGAATGTTGCTGAGATACTGTTAGAACTCTGCTCTTAACTCTTCAAATATTTTAACCTTGACCAGTCTGGGACATCTGAATGTTTCTGAAAACCCCTCACTTTTAGGTGTAATATTTCTGTGCGATTTCTAAGATCCTTAAACCACTGTTCATTTGTAAATTTGTGGTTCTAATTTAAAATTCCTTACTACTTCTGAAAATACAATTTTAATGAAATTAAATTTTCAGGTGTGCCAGGGGATTGCAGTGTATGCCATATTATGCAGTTGTGTACAATAGTGTATGACTCAACAGGAGAAAACAAATTTTTAGCTTTACTAGTTCATGAAAACATGGTGGATGTTGTTAAAAGTACTTTTTATTTTGTAAGTTTAGATTACTTCAGGAAAACGTCCTTCACTGTGACGGTAATTATAGCTACTGAAAACTTCTAAAGATCTTGTATCAATGTAAGTGTGAGGAGTCTTTGGTGCACTGATCTGTTCCAAAATACTACAGCACGGTGCATTAATTTAATTTTTAATCTTGAATGGAGCTGAAATGTTCTTTTCTGTATTTTTTCTGAACAAGTTCAAGACCTAATTTAAAGTCAACACTAAATGAAATCATACTAAATTTTGTGGTAACTGCATTTGCTTCAGTCATAACAAAATGTATGTGTTGTTGTTACAATTTTAGTATTTGATATTTCTTGTTGTAAAATGTTGCTAAAGAACACCATACTTCTGATCAGTTCTGAGCTTCTAGTATATATACTGTTAGTAGTGTATACTAACAGCAGCACTAAAATTCAGTGTCAAGTTTGTTTTCCACTTGTAAAACATACAAACCTCCAAGTCTTTAGTCTTGTTTTCCAAGAGAAATTGAAAAGCTTTATCGTAACTGCCCTTGTTACATTGGGAAGCAGCGGTGTTAAAAGCAGTTTACTTGTATTTGAGTGCTGTGATTAGTACTAACACTTACGTCTGAATGTGATATTTAGAAACTGACTTCTAAAAAAAACCAGTCACCTGCTTTGAGTAGGAACATCATGCCCTGTAAAATTTCAGTCTTAATTTCATCTGGAAAAGAATTTCAGTGTAATTTTGCATGTGTTTAATTGCCCATATTTCTCATCCATAAAGCGGCATCTATAGAGAGCACGTGAATTCCATTTTTACCTGGATTCATCTGTTAAAATATGTTCCTAGTGGTTGTCAGCTTGTGGGCTGAGGTATTCGGTCTTTTTTCTGAGCATGATGCACCATAAAGGACAATTCAGAGGAAATTTGCTTTGATAGGGCTCTGCTGGAATTTTACAATACTAGAACCCCTATGAATCAAACTTCCCAGGGACTTGCTAAGAAGGTTTGAAAGTATAGCTGGGGAAGGCTTTTCTTTCAAGAAGCTTCAGATAGTCTGAAGCTAACTTGGCTTTCTTAGTTCTTCAGTCACTGAACACTAACTTCATGCATAAATACAGTTGTGTTTATTTCCTGTTCTGTGCTAGTGACTTGAGAACTTGCATGGGAGACTGGAGTGTCAGTTCTCAGGAAAGGTGTTAGCATATTCACTTCTGTCGTGGTGAATGCAAACAGACTGGTATTCATGAAACAAAGCTGCTAGTGATCTGTGGATTTTTTCAGTAGTAAGACATTTGTTGGTTTACTATTTTTCATTGGAAGTAACTTCAAACTAAATTGACAAGTAAAATATACCTAAAGGATGCTTTTCCCTTCTGTGTTTTTGATTGATTTCTTTGCACTCGAAAGTTTTTATTACTGTCTCCTGTTGTATGTGTCTCTGGAATGAACAGTCATGCAGCCTGGGTGTGAGCTTCTAAATGTCACTTCTAATTATGTTGTCACTGGTATTACACTAATCTCACATTTTTGGGTATGATCTATGTGCCTCAATTACGTTCCTGAAACTTTGAAGGATTGATTTGACATTTGCTTGTAAGTGTACTGTAGACAATCACCATTTGTATGCTTTTCTAATAGCAAAGACGAGTAAAATAGTTAAGTATTAAATGATGCTGGAAGTTTTTGAATTTAAAAATTAATAAAGGTGTCTAAGAATAGTTTTTACTGCTTAAGCCATATAAAACATAAATGTATCCTAAATGTTAAGTTAAAAGTTAGCATTTAAAATGCTTGCAATGCAATTCAAGGTGCTGATATGAACATGAATATTAAAAAGCCTGAAAAAGCAAAACAGTTTAACCCATTGATCTATATAACCAATTATATGTATTAATTACACAATATGCCATATGTATTATGCCATACAGCATTAGTTTTAAAGTTTTTAATTTATATTGACTGTGAAGATTCTCAGCTTTTAGATTGTCATATTAAACTGAGAAAATAACTAATTTTTTTCCTTTAACAGAAATTGAAAAATTCCAAAAAGGGGAAGGAAAGGAAGAAGAAAAGTATATTGATGTAGTCATCAATAAAAATATGAAATTGGGTCAAAAAGTTTTGATTCCAGTGAAACAATTCCCTAAGGTAAGCGCAGCTTTCATACTTGATAAATCTGAGTGCTTATAAAAGATATTCCACTAATATCATAACTAGTCTTTTTAACTGTTACGTTTAAAACTATTAGCAATCTCTACTGTTCCTGTTCTGCAGTCTGTTCTATAGAAGTTCTAAGGTAGGAGTGGTTCTTGCTGCAATAAATGTGCGTGAGTGGTGCTGGTCACGAAGTAGTATGTTTAGAACTAATAACTCAATCATATTTTCAGGATAGCAGGATTGTCCTCTTCAGAACATCAAAAGGAATTAATATGTTTAAGCTGACTCTGATGCCAGACTTGGAAACTTTCTTATTGTAGGTAGAAGTGCAGCTTAAAATGCACCATTAAGGAACTCCCTGTGTAAATATCTTCTTATCATCTTAAGTTTCAGCCATTGTTAGTCTTGAATAAGTTATATCTACACTACTAAATTTTACAGTGTGTTCTGGAGGGGGTATTTCTGTTCAGGGAGGGAAGGAATTCCTTCATTCCTTCTTCTATTTCTTTAGGAAGATGATTTCTAAATATTTTTTTCCCCCCACACTGACAGTGTTTCTCACAAGACTGGGTAGCTTGAAGGGATTGCTTTTCTGCTGTTTAAAGTTTCATGAAATACTGCTTCAGTGAATTCAAGACTGCATACCATTTATATGTGGGCACCTCTTTGGAACTCTGACTTAAGTCGTCTTTATGCCTGGGAAGAGCTGTATACAAACATACAGAAGCATAGAGGTGGGAAGGTAAAAGATAGGGGAACCTTACATGGTCAGTGTTTGTAATCAGGATATTGAGATGCAGATACTTAAGCTCAAGGGGAGGAAAGGCAAAATGGATATTAAAGGGAAACAGTGCCTTTGGAAAGATGCTTCTGCTTCTTGATGTAGTGTCAGCTTTCTTTAAAGGACTAAACACTGAAATTCTTATTTAAGATAGCTAGTAGTAGGTAAGCCCTTGCTGTCTTTTGAGTGGGCAAATATGTTTTGCTTTATGCTCAGTATCTCTGGTCCATGGAGATGATCTTTGAGCTGGAGTAAAGCCTGGCATGTGCTATGGAAAGAAACCTGAATTTGTATCACGAGAGAGCTTTGATATAATCCTGTATGTCTGTTTAGACCACCAGGATCCAGGGGGTACAGTGTAACTGTTGTGCAGAATAGAGATGCCATGTGAATTCCTGTGTCTCCTGTAGGACTTTCTTCACAGAAAACAGAATACTCATGCAAATTGCCCTTCTACCAGAGTGAATAAGATCCTAGGTATTTTCAATTTAAGAATATTTTTACTTCAATGTAGGGGATTTTTCTTAGAAATTTCCATTTTTATTACATATAGGTGGATATTTATGTTAAAACTTACTCATTAAAGATTCTGTATAGTCAAAAGGAATTGAAATCTCTCACTGTACAGTAGTCCGGGAGGTGAGTATGAAATCAGACCTAGGAAATGTACTCTTGATCTCTGAAAAACACAGGCTCGGTGATGAGTGGATCAAGAGCAGCCCTGTGGAGAAGGACCTGGTGGATGAAAAACTGAGTATGAGCTGGCAGTGTGCACTCACTCCCAGCCCAGAAAGCAGATTGCATCCTGGGCCGCATCAAAAGTGTGGCCAGCAGGTCAAGGGAGGTGATTCTGACACTCTAATCTGCTCTAAGATGCACCCTGGAGTACTGAGTTCAGCTCCGGGGGCCCCTACGTAAAAAGGATTTGAACCTGCTCATATAGATCCAGAGGAGGGCTGTGAGGATGATCGTGGGGCTGGAGCACCTCTCCTAAGAGGACAGGATGAGAGAGTGTTGGGGGTTGTTCACTCTAGAGAAGAGAAGGCTCTGGGGAGACCTTATAGTGGCCTTCCAGTACTTAAAGGGGGCCTACAGGAAAGGTGGGGAGGGACTCGTTATCAGGGCGGGTAGTGATAAGATGAGGGGTAATAGTTTCAAACTGAAAGAGGGGAGATTTA